ATGGTTTATACTCTTTATACTTTATTTCTTAAGTTACTTTTATAATTAATTTGAACTATTAGATTTTTTTGATCTAGGTAGTTTCGACTATTAGAAATTTTTTTTTTTCTAAATTAGTTTGAAATATAAAAATTTTTTTTTTTACTATTTAGTTAGTTATTTGACAATTATTTTATTCGTTTTCTATTTTTATTTTTACTTTTTTTTTAACTAATTTTAGTTGTTAACACATGTCATCATCTTATTAGTATTAGCCACATATCGCGATCTGGTGAATAAGAATTTTGTTTGTGTTATGTTCTTATCGCGCTCATCCTCTTTTATATAATAAGATCGCTATAGATTTTTAAAATTAAGCTAATAAATTTAGTTATGGCGGTAAGCCAATTAGTTATGGCTAAGCTGCTTCATCTAAAAGAAGTTGACACTTAAAAGTAATTTTTAATCTCTGAAAATATGGTAACTTAAATCAATTGTTGGTCTTCATATTTTTATTGGCTCTGAAACAAGAACTTGTGGTTATGGTGATTAAAAATTGTAAGATCAAAGATACGCATAATTAGATACCTTATAAAATATGATTCCTACGAAACCTATACTTATTCTAAGCTAAAATTAATGATTTTTTCTTACTGTATAAATCCATCAAAAAACCCATCTTGTTAAATGTGTCGACTATATATGTGATTTGAATTTTGAGTACTGTAGAAAAGGAAAATGGTCAAAGTTAAACCATTAAAAAAAAAAAGAATTAGTATTTGACCATTCTATATATATCTTTTTTGAATAAAATTTAAATAAAAGGTACTATATCTTTTTGTTACATAATCAGATTTTAATATTCCTTTGCCAAACTTTATATTATTCCTGCTTTTTTCACATTTTCTTTGTTTTGTAAAATTTTATCGATTTATTTGCTTTACCGACACTGTAGTAAATGTAAATTTTGGTCCTACACGCAGAGGGATCCTGCCGGTTCGACAAGTCATTCTCGAACTCAATAAAACAAATTTTATCTTTTTTTTTTTCATTTAAAATATTATATTGATCAACGTTGGATTACAAATGTGTGATACATGCTTGAAATACAAAGGTAAAATACGAGAATAAAATACGAGGGTGGGACACAAAAGAGGAACCATACCTAGAACCTCAAATCAGAAGACAAATCCTAAAAACCGAAAGACCAAACTATATTTAGGAAAGCATGTTAACGCCAAATTTAACAATCCAAACAAACCACTCCAACTCCGACAAACAAAGTGTCAACCTTCCATTGAACACCCAAGCCTTAGAACACTTGCTTCGATTCACGGCATGGATGAAGGAGATGAAAGAGCTGCAAGACACTCGAGACAAAGTCACTGAATCTCGAGTCCAAAGCTAATCCAAGAAAGAGTGACTCGAGCCAAGATAAACCATGAAGAGAAGATCCCCAACAAGCATGATTAGAACCCAATCAAATACCAAGTTTCTTCATATTGATACCCAACGCAAAACTCTAAAGCATGGTGCTGGTATGCATAAAAGCCAGTAGAAGAATTATTCGAGAAGCGGACAGAAGAGATACTAAACAGCGAGCTAGGGGAGGATACAACCTCGAGGACATATTCTTCACCAAGATAGAGTCACACATAACCAACAGCACCAAGACATCACCTTAAACAAGACCAGGAGACAACACGAAGGAAAAACACAGAAATCATCGGGAGAGGAGATGGAGCTTGAACCAAAACCAGGGAAAACAACTCTCCTAGACAAACAAAGTTTGATCGTTGAAGCAAACTAACACGGTTCTGCATCGAGACAGATCAATCTCAGGACCAACGGCAACAAGTATCAGACTCTCCACAATCACAATCAACACGGATACAAAATAAAAAGGCTAGAGACCACCTAGTACCAACCCAAATCGATACCAAAATACCAAAACCTAATCCATCCGGCCTTGCTAACTATGGGCAGAGAAGTATATATCTTTGTGCCACCAGGTGATAAGTCGCTCCACTGCCGGACTCACTGACCGTTGAGCCGACGAACCGAGAGAACTACCGACCGAACCGAGATCCTCACCAATCCAGATCTTGAGATCTCACCACCAAGACACGAAAGACCGCATCACCAGATCTACAGAAGCCAAACTACACAGAAATCTAAAGAGCTAAACCCGACCGACGGCGGAGCCTCCGGCCGTCGGCCGAGAACACAACAATCGCATTTTCCTTCTTTCTCTCTAGCAAACAAATTTTATCTTAGAAACCACACAAAAAACCAAAAAAAAATTGTAAATAATTGAGTTAATGTGGAGTCCACAATGAAAAAGTTAAACCAAGTGGACTCGTAATAGATGGATCTTTTATCGTACCGAAATAAAAACGTTATAGATCGTATAAAAGTAACATTACAATTGATGTAGTTTTGTTTTTTGGACAAGACAGTACTTAATTTAATTTTCGAACGCGGTTACAGGCCATAGAATCTTGGAACTCGATGCCAAGGAGTCCAAACTTAAAGCATACAAGCAATACAAAACATAGTAAAGATAAGCTAAGTGGTTACAATCATAGATAATAACCGGAAACTCCTTCGAAAGGGCTAGTTCTTCTACCACTAAGGGTGAACGAATGATTTTAGCTCGTGGTGCCTTCAAGGCTGAGCGTTTAAAGACATTCTTCCTGAAGAAGAAAATTGGTGTAAATATTCTCTCCGATATGGAGGAAGGTGATAGGTTCGATCTATCAAAATTGAAAGAAACTTGTGAAAGTGATCTCTCCTTGTAGGAGGAAATTGACCCTTGGATGTTTATAAAAGTGTGGGCCTTGAGGTATGACATGGGTTGATAGAAGCCTAAAGTTATGTTGGGCCAACAAAAACCAACTTTTTTGATGGACCACGATAGGCCCAAACAAAAGAAGTTGACCTCCAATTAGGGTTATGTGGCATCGGCGGTGAGGTGATCCCAGCGGTTGAGCGAAATTTTGTTGATGAAGGGGTTGCCGACAGTGGCATCGTGCCTACGTTGATAGAGAAGATGGAGTCGAAATGTATCAAACATAGTGTTCTTCTTGTTCTCGTTTGAAAAGCTTGAGAGGTGACCACCGTAGTAACCTTGAGAGTCACTGGGCCGTCGGGTCGAGTCGTTGGAGAGGCGTAGGCTAAGCAACTTAGAGAACATAAAGCATTGCTTCTCGCTGGAGGAATTCTGTTTGAGGAGGTCTCGGCATGAGGAAACTCAAGCGTTGATGTTGGTAAGAGACAAAGATGAGATCTGATTGTACACAGGTTGGGAGCGTAGTCAACACACTTTGTGAGAGACCGTGAGGCTTTGCGATAGAGAGGTAGGTTTGTTATGCTCAGTTTTAGATCTGGTCGGGTAAGTTGAGAGACTAACCAACTCCGAAGGTCTGGAGGAGTTGGCGGTTGCGGCAGATCCACCGGCAAAATCAGCCAGCGAAGCTTCAGAAGCCGGAGAACGATCTCGTCATCGGCATTAGCAAGAGGGCGCATACCGGAGGAAAAATAGATCACACTGTTACCGGTCATGGGTTAGAAACTGATGGCGAATGAGTTGAGCAAGGATTGGTTCTCGTCGGCGAACCCAACCGACGGATTTTGAAACGGTTCTTCGAATATCTTTTGTAGATCTCGAGAAAGAGGTGACGCTTCAGTTAGGAGGAGGAGGAGAAAACGGCAAGGAAATGGAGACGAATGGCCATGACGATCGGAGCAAGGTTGAGGAAGGCAGCCGCCTCGATCACTGTGTCTGAAAGAGTTTTAAAACATGACTCAACTTACAATTGATGTATAAAATAAATAACTTATATGAGAACTCTAATTTGGAATTACATACTCCAAACTAATACAAATGCAATAGCTTATAGAATTAAAGAAGGGAAATTTGTTAAATTGATACAGTTTGAATTAGCGTTTTGTAAATTAACCTTCTACCTATGATTGTTTGTCCCAATAACCTTTCATATTTCTAAATCCCAATTTTATCCTTCTAAATTAAGAAAAATTAATCTTTTACTAATATATAAAAATGATTTTCGTTTTTACAATTTATTTAAAATATTTACAATAATTTTTTTCT